GGCCACCTGTGGCCGTGACTTTGAGGGTTGCGGCGGGGAAAACACTCGAGTAGCGGGGGTAGGCCCACGACACTTAGAGCAAAGGGGAAAAACACTCAAGTAGCAGGTAGGCCGGTACCACTCAAGTAGTGGTAGAAGTATCTTGTACTGGAGGCCGAGCAGAAGAAGACAAAAAGTTGGCATTTTTAGAGGCCAGTAGCTGTAGGCTAGAGGTAGGCCGGTGCCAGTCCAAGTAGCGCAGGTCTAGGGCCTGTCCGGACGATAGCAGAGACTGCAATGATGTTTCCCTCCGAAAGGGAGGAGGTACCGGTTGCTGGGAGGCCGCTCGGCCTAGGAAGTCACCGTCCAAGAGGCCAGTAGGCCATTAAATCTTCTGGAGGAGCATGTAGCTCCTCCTCATTTGCGGTATGCAAGGATTGGCGACATGCTGCTGAGTGGAGCGCTGGGCTGGTACAGTGCTACCTGGAGGGGAAGGGCAGCCTGGGCGCTCAGCCTGGCTATGGCGAGCAGCCCAGCCTGAGGAGGAGGAAGAAGGGGGCGAAGGAGGAGAGTGTCGAGGCACCTACCTGGCTATGGTGGACAACATCTTCATCACCTTGTGGGGCGCTGCATCTGGAAGGCCCTAGTTGGGGTAGTGCCGCACCAAGGAAGCTCGAGGCAGAGCCTGGCATGGCGGATCAGTCAGCAGCAGCATAGCTGCTTTGGGTTGCCCTTTGGACAGGAGTGCAGCGCCACAGCTGCTTTGGGTTGTCCTTTGGACAAGAGGGCAGGGCCCTCAGTAGTCCGCCATAGCCTATGCATGTGAGAGGAGGCAGAAGGAGGGAAGCCATAGCTATGGTGGACTTGTTGTTGTTGTTGTTGTTGTTGTTGAGTCAGCAGTAAGAGGGAACTTCGGATATTGATTCTGGTTCATCCACTCGTTGTTATTATTATTATTGGGAGAAGAATAAGATTGGTGAAGTGAAGGAGGAGGAGGAAGGTGGAGAGAGAAAAGGGGATTTGTCATTGGTCTTGCTGGTGTACATCTTCTTCTTCTTCTTCTTCTTCTTCTTCTTCCTTCCCTCTTCTTTGGTCTCTATCTCTTTGCAAGTGCTTTCATTTCTTTTGCAATTGGGTGGCATTGTCTTTCATTGTGAATTTGCACTATGGGAATGACCAGGATCGTAACATCTTCTTAGGCCCTTGCCTATTCCATCAGGACCCGGAGATTCAGTATCCATGAACTTCATGGATACTGGGCTCAGAAGCAGGCACGGAAAAACTCAAGTCATGGTCATAGTAGACCGATTTAGTAAGTATGCAGTATTCGTTCCCCTGCCTTTAGAGGCACATACAAACTTACTCATTAGTAAGTTTTTAGACTTCTGGGTAAGCGAGCATGGCATGCCGCTGTCCGTAGTTAGTGATAGGGACACGCGGGTTACTAGTCAGAATTGGCAGGATCTTATGAAAGTCTATGGGTCTAAGTTGTTGATGTCATCAGGACGACACCCAAAGACTAACGGCCAGACAGAGCAGATGAATAAGATCTTGCAGCAGCTACTCAAAATGTATATCAGACCAGATCAGGTAAAGTGGGATGAGATGCTTCCCAAAGTAGCAAGCGCCTACAACAATAGTGTCCACCTAGCTACTTGCAGGACTCCTAATGAGCTACACAAGTCCTTTAGATCTAGGCGACCGTTTGAGGGACTAAGCCGGGACCAGCTACAGAGACTATTACCCGGCACACGAGAGTTCGCGTTGCAGCACGAACAGGAAGTCACTAAGGTCATAGACAATCTGAGAAAGGCCCAGGATCGGATGATAGAGCAAGCTAATAAGCACCACCAATCTTCACAGTTCCAGGTAGGCGATCTAGTCTGGGTCAAGTCAAAGGAATTTGCACCATAGGAAAACATCTCGCAGAAGCTCCTACCTGCGTATAGAGGACCGTGGCCTGTCCTAGAAGTCAAAGGAGGAGAGGACGGCCCGTCATATACAATAGAGATCCCAGCACACCTCCACACGTACCCAGTCTTCTATGCATCTAAGTTGTTACCTTGCACCACATCTGACAGATTCCCTTCCAGGAGATCGATGATTCCACCAGACATGGACGGTGAATACGACATAGAACACATAGTGGAAGAGGACGTGTTCGGGACAGGAGGCCGAGGTCGTCCCCAGAAACAGTGTAAGGTGAGGTTCGCATACCAGGAACCCGAGGACGACCGATGGTTTACAAGGACAGAGCTCTTAGAAACCACTCCCGATGTAGTGTACACTTACGAAAGAGAAAGAAAGAGTAAAGGTCCTATCTTGAGTTAGAAAGTTTTTGGAGGACTTCAAATTTAGGACGGCAGGAGTGAAATGGTTTCACCCAGTTAACCCGACATTTGCAGACACAGAGATTCGATCCCTAGACCTGTGCCCAAACCCTGTACATCGACCCTGTGTGCTGAGTGAGAATCGATCCCTAGACCTGTGCCCAAACCTTATACATTGACCCTGTGTGCTGAGTGAGATTTGATCCCTAGACCTAACCTGTACCTTTTATATAGGCCCAGAGATCTGTGTAGGACTTGATCCCTAGGTCTGTAGATTAGGAGTTGAGTCTGTTACCGGTAGGCCTGGACAGTCTGTTCTAGAAGTCTCTACCTGAACCTACTGAGGGCCTAGAGTCTGTCTGTCGGTCTGTAGGTTCTAGAAGTCCGTAGGACCCCCTGTAGTCCTGTCTAGTCAGTTGGTACTAAGGGAAAGTGCTGCATGTGGGGACAGGGACAGGCCTACAACATTCTGGAGAAGACTCCAGAAGACGCGTATGGGCCCAGGGCCACGCGGTTTGGCCCACGCGATGAACAGAAGGCTCCGGAAACGTGGTTTGGGGCCCAGCTGTCGCGCATTTTGGCCCAGGCCCACACGGTTTGAGGCAGGGCCCGGGTACCTCCAAAGAAGTATAAATAAACAGGCAGCGTCCAGCCATTCATTCATTCGCCTGTTTGCCATGCGGAAGAGCTGCCTTGGTATCTTGTGCGTGGAGGACTGCAGGTGCCCGGAGAAGAAGTGGGCTGTGAGGAAGACAGTGGCCATAGCGAACCAGCGAGGGAGATACCGACGGCCATAGCTCGGAGGAGGAATACGACGGCGTCCATAGCCGCCCAGCTGTTGGTGTAGACGGAGTGTACAGAGTGTGTGTGGCTGTGTAGCGTGGACGTTCAGGGTGATCCTCGTACGTGCGTGCATGAGGGAGAGTGAGGCTGGTGGTTGAGACAGTGTTCAGCGGCCATAGCCGCAAGTTGTACAGTTCTGAACAGAGTTTAAGAGCAAGTTCGTTGTTGATTCTGAGTTGATGAGTTTGGTTTGCCATGGGTTCTCATGTGTGCATGTTGTGAGCAAGTTCAGAATCGAGTCTGATTGCAGGCAAAAGGATTCGCCAAATGACCAGGCAAGCAGCAAGTTAAGACAAGGTAGCAAGGCAAAGGCAGCAAGGCAAGAGGCAGCAAGGCAAGAGGCAGCTGGGCAAAAGGCAGTGAGCCGAAAGGCACTGAGACAGATAGCAGAAGGCCGCAAGGTTCAAAGCTGCAAGGCAAAAAGCCGCAATGCTAAAGGTAGCTAACTGACGAGGCAAGCAGCACGGAAAGACAAGGCAGTGAGGTAAAAGGCGGTAAGGCAAATGCCGACGAGGCAAATGGCAGCCAAACGACCAGGCAAGTAGCATGGAAAGACAAGGCAGCAAGGCAAGCCAAAAAATGGGAGTGAGGCAAAAGGCAGCAGGGCAAAAGGCAGTGGGAGGTAAAGTACATCCAATGCAAACATAGAATAAAAGACGAGAAATGTACAAGTACCAAACTGAAAAAAAAAAAAAAAAAAAAAAAACAAATAGCAGAAAAAGAAGAAAAATGGACGGTGACAGACTCTTTCGTCGGACTCGCTCTTGCTCATCAGGAGGCTGAACCCGTGACAATCTGCAAAATCCCAACATTGAGATCGGACGAACTGCAGCACAAGCAGAAAAGACACTATGCAGCGAGACACAAGGTAGCACTGTCAAGGCAACTAACTACATGGTGAATAGGTATGCTGCATGGAAAGAGAAGGCAAGTGGATGT